GCATGCGCGCGTATGTGTGTGTATGTGTGTGAAAGAGAGAGAAGGAGTGGGGCAGAGACAGATAGAGAGACAGAAAGAGAGAGAGACAGAGAGAGAGAGAGACAGACAGAGAGAGAGAGGGGGGGAGGCAGGGAGAGAGACAGAAAAAGAGACAGATGGAGAGAAAAGAAGCAGAAAAAGCGCACATGGATAGAAGCAAAGACAGAGAGAAAGTAAAAGAGAGAGAGGGGGGTGAGAGAGAAACAGAGAGGACTGAAAGAAAGATACAGAGAGAAAGAGAGAAAGAGAGGCGGAGGGGAGTGACAAAGCATGAGAGAAAGAAGAATAAAAGAAAAAGGTAGAAAGAGAGATGATAGGTGAAAGAAAAGATATTGAAGGGGGAGGGGAGAGAGATCATATAGGAAAAGAGAGAAAGAAAAAAAAGGAGGGAAACAAAAGTGCGGACGTAGTAAATCACGTAGTATGTATTAATATCCTGTCTGCCGACCAGAATCGACTTTCTTGTAGTCTCTGCATTCCAAGGAAGTAATCAAATCTGTCGCTGATCACATCATTGATTTCTTCTGTTGTCTTATAACAATGAGTCGTAGCCGGTATTGTCTAGATAGAAAAAGGTTACTGGTATCAAAGAAAGGTCAGCAGTTATCTCATGGTTTCCTATTTATAATTTTAATTTTTTAGTTGAAGCGTCTCGAACTTTTTCCATTTTTTTTACTGACTCTTCTTTCGTCGTAAGGAAGAGAGCAAAAAATAAGAAGTAGAAAAGCGAGCTGACAAGCACTCGGAATATATAGTCAAATTTGGGGCTTTTTGTCTTGCTGTTCTTTGTTGCGGTACGAAAGAAAGAGGAAAAGGGAAGGGGGAGGGGGAGGGGGGAATGATTAAAGGAAAAAGGTTTAGCGGGTTGACTGCTGAACTGTTAAGTTACGTTCCATGCCGACAAGGGGATCTAGTAAAAAAAACCAACTACAAACAAACAACCTACATATCGAACCCAAGTATTAAGACAATGGTCGTTAACAAACAAAACGTCGCTGTAGTTTTCCAAACATCTACGTTTAGAAATGTTTCTCAGTTCCTGTTTCAATTGCCCTATTCGCTAAAGAAGAGAATTATCCATCATGCACATTATGAAGATTATGACTCTGTTATCAAAAGAATTAGTATTTTAGCAGTCCAATCTGAACGCTCAGATGAAAAGTTTCTGCAAAAAGCGAAACTCAGGTGGTCATTTTTTTCCGGACAAAAAGAAATATTTTGATATATTATGTATTTAGAAAATAACAACGACAGCAAACAAAATGAGGTCATTTACTTCTCCCTCCATCCGCCACTGACCACGGCGAGGACAACAACATGGGATTAGCCTATAGTAACCTAACACACCATAGAACAAGAACCGGAACCATAGTGTCGTCAGAGTGATTAATTACACCATCAGCAGCATATTATCATCATCATTATCATTATAAGCATTAATACCTTCATTTTCATTATCGTTTTACTAAAGCATTTAAAAACTGAAAACTTGAACTGTGTTTTTGACAATTTTATAGTTGTTAAAGAAAAAAGCTCGACATTTCGCCCGTTGGACTTCTTCTGGAAGTCACAAGAGAAAAGGCATGGTTAAAATACTAAATTTAATACTTCTGATAATAAAAGAGTCAACTTTTATCATCATCATCATCATCATCATCATCATCATCATCATCATCATCAATATCACCATCATCACCAACATCACCATCATCACCATCATCACCACCATCATCATCATCATCATCATCATCATCATCAATATCACCATCATCACCATCATCACCATCATCACCATCATCACCATCATCATCATCATAATCATCATAATCATCGACCCCGTAGCCTCCTCTTCCCGACAGTTGGACACCACGAATTACGTTCCACTAATCTTCATCAACTCCTTTCGAATGCTGGACTTGCTTATAATACACAAATGTATAGCCTTGAATTATAATTATTTTCAGGATTTGCTTCTGTAAACCGTTCTCCTCCAATCTTTTCTTCTGCTCTTCTCTTTGCCCCTTGTATGCAGGATGGTCTCTGTTAACCCCGGTGATCCTACGACGTGTAATACATCACAATTACACAGAAAAAGTAACCGTGAGAGACATCTGAAACAAAGCGGAACGGACAGAATGTCATCACTCAGAGAAATTTTTAAAACAAAACCCTGGGATTCCTCGCGCCTTAGAACAGGCAGTAACAAGTCCGTCGCATCTTATGACATACGTATTCATCATACATGTCCGTATATATTTCCAAGCCGTGGAGCAGGAAAAAGATGCTTGCAATTGCAGCCCATAGAACTGTCGGCACGGAGTTCCTCTCAGCCATAATGTGATCACATGCCTCAGAGAGCTGACTCCCATAGAGATGTGATGTATGGCTCACGGGGGGGAGATAAGAGGACATACTTGAAGAAGATCTCAGAACCGACGCCTCATTCGCTATTTCCATGTCTTCACGTGGTGAGCAATATGAGACGGCTCGACTAAAAATAGATTGTGTACTTTTACCAGAGTTTGTAGGGGGAACAAAGGAGAAAAGCGATCAAATCCCCCCCCCCCCAAAAGAA